TCTAAGATGTTTGTACACAAATGCAAGAAGCCTGGGAAATAAACAGGAAGAATTAGAAGGCCTGGCCCAGTCAAAGAACCATGATTTGACTGGAATAACAGAGATTTGGTGGAATGACTTTAATGATTGGAGCACTGTAATGGAAGAGTATAAACTGTTCAGGAAGAACAGGTGGGGGAGAAGAGGAGGAGGAGTTGCATTGTCTGTAAGAAAGCAATATGATTGCTCAGAGCTTCAATATTTAGAAGGAGAAAAGACTGTTGAGAGTCTATGGGTTAAGTTTAGAGATGGAAGCTGTCATGACTCCTTCTCCACTCTGGCATGATAAATGCAGAAGTGGGGGCCAGCAAGTGTACCCCAAAGCCTTATCTACCAGGCTTTGGTATAAAACTTCCCCCAAAATCTTAACCTAGATTTTGGGAATAAAACTTCTGCTGCCACCACCCTAATATTAATAACAAGATTAGGGGAAAGATCATTTGGGAAATCTCACCCCTATTATAAAAATCAGGACACACAAGTAACCAATGCCAGGTTAATAAAAAGAAAAGAGAATTTTTTTTATTACAACAATATTCCTGTTGCAAGCATAAGGATCAGATGGAAGGGTAACAAAATATACTCATGGAGGAGTTACACCATGGACTAGAACTTTAGTTAAAAAGAAAAGCCAAACATCTCTTAAGAAGTGCCAGATATCAGATCCCATATCCAACCCTTAAAACAGTAAAGCCTAAGGAAACTACCTAAACTCTACCCTACTTACAGAAAGTGAAGAATTGTTTCTTGGAGAGAGAGAGACATGCTTGTCCCTCCCTGTAGCTGCAGAGGACTCTCTCAGAGACAAAAGGAGCAAGGAAAAAACCCAAATTCCTTTGTCCCAGTTTGAAAGTCCCATCTACATTCCTACTGGTCACTCCACCTGGCTAGGTGTAGTTAAGTCCTTAATCCCCAGGCTGCTGGCTAACCCTCATAATCATGACATGCCCCCCAGATCAGATGGTGCTGGACAGCCTCTGCCCACACTGGCTGTCATTTCTTTCTGTAGGTCTGAGATAAAACATAGTAAATACATTTATGCACACTTGACTAGACTATTGAATACATGAAAAGTAAACAAAATGCTTCCATATCCATGGAGTACCATAACAGATATACAGAAAGTATACTAAGTAATTGAGTCCAGAAATGCGTCATTAACCAATCAAACTCAGTCTCAAATCAAATTTAGAATAGCGTGGGGTCTTGATCTAAAGTTCAATTGACCAGGTTCTGTGCCTCTTGCGAAATACACTGTCATACACCAGGCCAGGTCTTGGCACCACTGAAGGTGTCAGCTCAGGGCGAATTGCTTAAAATCAGGGCTACTTACTGCCCTCAACTGGGGTCCTTCCCCAGGCACCCCTCAAATTACACCCAGCACTTCAGCTGCCTCCCCAGTCAGCCGGAAGCCTCACCAGCAAAATCACTTAGACACTCCAGCTTCCCTGTGCCATCACCAGCCTTAGGCCTCACACACAGGTGAGAGGTTATAAAACTCACACTCACCAACTCCAAACAGATCTTCCTAGTCCAAAGGACTCAGCCACAGTTCCAAGCCAATTTTCACTTTAGATCTTATCCACAAGATCACGCTGGGCCAACCAGAGAACTGATGGTCGGGATTCCCTGGGATGCTTAAACGAAGGGGAAAGGAGTCCAGGAGAGCTGGCAGTATTTTAAAGAAGCCTTATTGAAGGCACAGGAAGAAACCATCCCGATGCACAGCAAGAAAAGCAAATCTGGTAGGTGACCAGATTGGCTTACCGGGGACTTCCTGGGTGAGCTTAAACACAAAAAGGAAGCTTATAAGAAGTGGAAACTTGGACAGATGACTAGGGAGGAGTATACATATATTGCACGAGAATGCAGGGGAGTTATCAGGAAGGTGAAAGCACAATTAGAATTGCAGCTAGCAAGCAATGTGAAGTATAACAAGAAAGGTTTCTACAGGTATGTTAGCAATAAGAGGGTGATCAGAGAGGGTGTGGGGCCCTTATTGGATGAGGGAGGTAACCTAGTGACAGATGATGTGGGAAAAGCTGAAGTACTCAATGCTTTCTTTGCCTCTGTCTTCACGGACAAGGTCAGCTCCCAGACAAATGCACTAGGTGATGCAGTATGGGATGGAGGTATGGGACGCAGTATGGGATGGACAGCCCTTCGTGGGGAAAGAACAAGTTAGGAACTATTTAGAAAAGCTAAACATATACAAATCCATGGGCCCGGATTTAATTCATCCGAGGGTACTGAGGGAGTTGGGAATTGTCATTGCAGAGCCTTTGGCCATTATTGTTGAAAACTCATGGAGACTGAGAGATGTCCCGGATGATTGGGAAAAGGCAAATGTAGTGCCCATCTTCAAAAAAGGGATGAAGGACAATCCAGGGAACTATAGACCAGTTAGCCTTATCTCAGTCCCTGGAAAAATCATGGAGGAGATCCTCAAATCAAGTCGTACCTGACCAATCTGATTATCTTATATGATGAGGTAATGGGCTCTGTGGATATGGGAATGTCTGTGGACGTGATATGCCTTGACTTTAGCAAAGCTTTTGATACTGTCTCCCACAATATTATTGCCAGCAAGTTAAGGGAATATGGATTGGATAAATGGACTATAGGATGGATAGAAAGCTGGCTAGACTGTCGGGCCCAACGGGTAGCGATCAACAATTCAATGTCAGGTTGGCCATCTGAGGGATTTGGGTTTGTTTAATCTGTAGAAGAGAAGAGTGAGGAAGGATTTGATAGCAGCCTTCAACTTCCTGAAGGGAGGTTCCAAAGAGGATGGAGAAAGGCTGTTCTCAGTAGTGACAGATGGCAGAACAAGGAGCAATGGTCTCAAGTTACAGTGGGAGAGAGCTAGGTTGGGTATTAGGAAAAACTATTTCACTAGGAGGGTGGTGAAGCACTGGAATGTGTTACCACTAGGAAGGTGGTAGAATCTCCATCCCTAGAGGTTTTTAAGTCTTGGCTTGACAAAGCCCTGGCTGGGTTGATTTAGTTGGGATTGGTCCTGCCTTGAGTAGGGGGCTGGACTTGATGACCTCCTGAGGTCTCTTCCAGCTCTATGATTCTATTAAAAAGATCTGAAAGAGACTCAAGTTGCCTCAGCACAAGAATCAAGAACAATATTCCAAACAACTTAGGATGGCATTAAATGTGAAAAGTTGATTGAGATAGGGAGAAAAATGCCAAGCAAGTAAAGCAACAGATATGAAAAGGGATAAAGAGACTCCGTAATCAAGTGCCAAGATCTATTCAAGGTTTTGAAGGTGAGTGCAAAACGTCAAGCTGTAGAGATATAGGCAGACAGTGCATAGGCTATGGGGGAGGGAGAATAATGGTTGAAACTGCAAGCAAGAATGATTATTAGTCACTCTAAATCTGTACCAGATTGATACTAGTGATCTAGAGCAGAAGGGGTAATCTCCTGAAACACTCAGTCTCTTAAGTGTCTTATTTATTTATTTATTTAAGTATTTAATAGAACATTGTGTTCAAAGTTTCCTCTAAGCTGCATGGTTGAGTGGCTTCTATGTTCTGAGCCCTGTGCAGAGGTTCAAAGCTCCCTGCGCAGTCAGAGAGATCAGATGATTTGGTGGGACCAGACCTCCATATATAGCAGCTAAATGCTGCCTGCTGGAAATGGAAGACAATAAGCCAGCTGAGATAAGCAGGGAATGAGTGGCTGGGAGGAGGAAGGGAGTAATTAACTGGCTTGAGGGAAAGTCCCATCTGCAGGAGGAGAGAGAGAGGCAGAAGCCCAGCAGTTTTCTTCAATCCTCCTGAACTCCTGAAGGAGTAGGTAAAGGGGCTGACTGCCTGGGTAGGTGGGGGAAAGAGGGAGTGATTGAGTGCTGGCATCTGTGCAGTGTGGTAGAGGGTGTCTGACTCACTACAATCCCCTCTGTTAGGCTGGCTTGGAGGGCAGTGGGGGAGCCTGGTGTGTGTGCGTGCTAGGACATTTGCATGACAATTTCAAACAAAGTTTGCGTATAGATGTTAATGGATTAAGATAAGGGGGGAAAAAAGATTATTTTAGCAGTTTCAGAGCGGTAGCCATGTTTGTCTGTAGCTGAAAAAATATTAAACAGTGAATAGTCCTAAACTGCTGCAGAATTATTTGTTGTTTTTTAGTTCTTTTAACATAATTTTTTGGACTGTTGCAGATATTTAAACTCTGAACATAATGATTTTTTAAATCCTATGTTACTAATTAATACATGGTAAATTATGTTGCATTAAAGCCCAATCTTTGCTTTTATGAGTCACAAAGAGCAAGTGTGCTGCTAGCTGTTTTGTAGGATGAAACCGTATTTGCAAACTCTTTGAAACATGCAACTGTCTACAAACCCTGAAGCCATGTGTTAATTTGTTCTGGGGCTTCTATTCTTCCTCCAGTGGAAGGCTAATTCCCTATCTTTGTACAGCACCTTTGTAGTCATTAAGGGTACCTCACAGCAACTAGACACAGTGTCTTGTTTTAATAGATTTTCTTCCACGTATAGGGATTGATGTGTGTGTGTGTGTGTGTGTGTGTGTGTGTGTGTAAAATGTGTTTTCTTTGTATTTGTGGTACACATCGATGTAGTACCTCAATATTGGTGGTGCACATAAGAACATTCAACCTGCCCAAGGATAGAAGATATTAGAGGGAAAGCTGACTGTTTCCAAATGAAAATGAGCTCAGGACTGTAATTAATAAGCAAGTAATACATGATCCAATTCTTTCTGACCTTGCTCTTAGCATTTCAGAACACACCCAGGGTATGCACAAAAGACCCATTTGTGCAGCATGTACTCTTAAATGAGCAACGGAAAAAAAATCACATTCATTTTCCAATACAAAGGGCAGGGGAGATAAGTTTTTTAAAAATAACCACTACTAACACTACATGGAAATGTTAATATTGATTAAAAGCAACTGTTAGACTTACAATAGCAAGAACCCTTACCGTAAACCCTTGGTGTACTTCTTAGTTGCCATTGCCCAGTTCTGTGATTTGAAGAAAGTATTTCCTGTATTCTTTATATCTTCTGCTATGGACACAACCTTGTCAACCTATTAAGAAGAGGAGGAAAAAGCTTATACAATTTAAGTATTACATTATGTAATTTACACCAAGCTGCAAGTCTCTGAACTAAATATTTAACAGTAGGAATCCAAGTCTATTCTCTTTCAAAGACTGCCAAAATACATCAAAACCACAACTATTTTAGTGTTGAAGAAAAACATTCAAACAACTGCTACAATATTAGCAACACATTCTCCTTGATCCATGGTATGAAACTCCCACTGAATTGTACATGAGGATAAGAATATAAAAATGTCTATTGTGGGTCAGGATAGTGGGCTGGATGGACCATCTGTCTGTCTTCAGACAGTTTCCAGCCCCAGAAGGAATGAAGAGAACAGGACAATTATTGAGTGATCCATCCCTTGTGGGCTAGTCCCAGCTTCTGACAGCTGAGGCACCAAGAGCACAGACTGCATCCCCGCCCACCTTGTCTAATAGCCATTGAGGGACTGATCCTAAGAGAAGAAAACATAACAGCAATAAAGAACCAGCAATCACTAATTTGATTCCTTCCTAAATGCAGTTGCATGAATTTTGAACATCCATTCTTCCTTAATCCAAGATCATGTAAGCAAGAAGCTTTGGTTGTAGCCATTAAAAACTGGAGATTTATTAGAGATGCAGATACAACCAAACACTTCTCATATCCAAGAGTATTTTGTCTTGTATTTCTCACAGTTCAAGGCACAGACACTTGATCTGCATAGGCCTTTTAACCAACAACTACCTACTGACACTTGTCCTGCCCTCAAGCCACTTTCTAGATCAGTGGTCACCAACCAGGAGATCGGGACCTACTGGTAGATCTTGGAGCCTCTGACAGGGGATCCTGACTGGTTTGGCCAGGAAGCTATCAAGTGCTGGCACTTTAGTTGCCCCTCCACCCACTGTCATGTTGTTCCTGTTCTCTTGCCTTGGAGCTGCCCCTTGGAAGCCTCCTGCTTGCTGTGCAGGGTGTGGGAGGGAGAAGGGGGGGCATGCTGACATCTGGGTGTCCCTCCTCCCCCCAATCTTGTACCCCATCTCCACACAGAGAGAAGGGGATGGAGGGAGCTCGGCAATGCAAATCTGTCACACTCACACTGTGTGTGTGTCTGTCATTCTCACAAACACACACTGTCCTTCCCTCATCTCCTGACCCAACATGTACATGGGGTCTTGTTACTCCTTTTACTGCTTGCAAAGTGGGTTATGTTTAGTTTTTGACTGGTTGGTGCATTTCATAACTTTCGTTTCTCTTATGCCTAAATTTAATTCTTTGAGTACTAAAATGCCTAACGCCTGTTATGTCTGGAGTAATTAGCCCTACCGTTGGTTGTGCTCCTGGAGGTAGCTGGCATGTCCCTGCAGCCCCTGAGAGGGTCAGAGCAGGGGGTCTCCACATGCTGTCCTTGGCTGCAGACACCACTCTTGCAGCTCCCATTGATCAATAATGGAGAACTGTGGCCAGTGGAAGGTCAGGGACCTGCTGAAGGTAAGGTGATGGGGGGAGTTCTGGAAGGGCTTAGGAGATCAGGACATCTGCCTGGGGAACATATGGTAGCAGACTCAAGGTCTGTCCCGTCCCCCCGTTCTCCCAGGCAGCCCAAGCTCCCCTGCCCAGCCTGGGAGCAACCAGACACAGGACAAGGCACCCTGCAAAGGCAGGCAGAGGGGGGGCGTCTTGAGTGGATCAGGAGGTACAGCACTTGCCCAAGGAGAACAGGGTTGTGGGTTGGAGTCTCCACCCAGCAGCCCAAGCCCTGCCCATCCTGGGAGCAACCAGACAGCCAACACAGGATACAGAACCCACCAAAGGTGTGGAGGTGGGATGGGCTCAGTCCTGGCATGGCCTAGAGGTTAGCACATTCACCTGGAAAGCACAGGGTGGTGGGTGCAAGTCCTGGGAGCAGCTGGACAACCAACACAGGTTGCCCCAGGGATAGACCAGGCTCCTGCAGTAAGAAGGCAGGATAAAGGACACCCTCCCCCCAAGGCAGGGGGAGGGGTGGACCCTGGAGTGGCCAAGGGCAGTACTCCTCAACCTCCAGGGGGCACCTAAGAGAAGTCTGGGGGTACATCAACCCCACTGAAATTTGGAGAAAACTGAATTTAAGTTTTACAGCATATGTATTATTTTTGTACTTTTTACACCCAAATATTTCATCACATGTCCAGCTACAATTAAGTTGCTTAAACAAATGTGTTTCAATGGTAAACAAAAAAGTGTGTGTGAAAACTGTAGGTACTGGGGGTACTTACTAATTCTGTGTGTGGAAAAAGAGGTATTTTAGAATAACAAAAAAAAAAAAAGGTTGAGAAACACTGGCTTAGGGGATAGGGCATTTGCCACACACCCAAGACTACAGCCTGCACCCCTAGCTCAGCCTGGGAAAAGTGAATGATATGCGGGGAGGAAGGGCAACATAGTGAGTAGTGAGAGACCTTAGAGAACGAGTGGGGCAGGGCCCCAGAGAAGGGGGAGAAGGAATCCAGGCAAGGGTATTTGGGTTGGAGGTAGATCTTAAATTGAAAAAGTGATCTTGTTGTTAAAAAGGTTGGAGACCCCTGTTCTAGATCCATAAAGTAAAGCTGATAATTATTTGCCTGTCTGTTCTAAATCTATTGATCCAGCTTCAATTTAGAAGATACAAGGCTTTCAAGTGTCAACAACTATCTTTGTATTGGTAATTTAACAAGATATCATTGCTGTTTTTACCACAGCCAAACACATTTATATGCAACAGCTTACTCCAACATCCCAGCAAATTCTAGATATTTCTGAAACTTGAATTTTAAAAAAGTGTTTCAATTCAGCCTACTGTAACACTAACCCAGCAACACCATACATGTGACAGATAGCTTTCTAGACACTAAATATAATGTCAGTGTCATCTGTCTACATGGGGCATGCCTAAAGATTGCATGATGCATGAAAAATTGTGGTAATTAGATGAATTTCTAACTTTGGAAACAAACTGCATAAATCTTTAAATAATTTCCAGAGTATGCTATTACTCTCGACATTTTCTTCCTTTCAGTAATTTAGAGTTTAGATTCTAAAGGATTGGCCCAGCGTGATCTTGTGGGTAAAATCTAAAGTGAAAATTGGCTTGGTACTGTGGCTGAGTCCTTTGGACCAGGAGGATCTGTTTGGAGTTGGTGAGTGGGTTTTGGTAACCTCTCACCTGTGTATGGAGGCCTAAGTCTGGTGATGGCACCGGGAAGCTGAAGTGTCTAAGGGGTTTTGCTGGTGAGGCTTCCGGCTGACCGGGGAGGCAGCTGAAGTGCTCGGTGTAATTTGAGGGGTGCCTGGGAAAGGACCCCAGTTGAGGGCGGTAAATAGCCCTGGTTTTAAGCAATTCGCCCTGAGCTGACACTCTCAGTGGTGCCAAGACCTGGCCTGGTGTATGATAGTGATGTATTTCGCAAGAGACACAGAACCTGGTCAATTGAACTTTAGATCAAGACCCCACGCTATTCTAAATTTGATTTTGAGACTGAGAGTTTGTACTCTCTGGGGATGGCAAGCTGCACGGTAATGGGAATTGTCGAATCAATTCCAGGGCCACCTCAAAGGTCTCTGGGGTCGAAAGCAGCTAAATGTGCCAGTTATGACAGTCCAGGGAGTGATGGAAGGGTGGACTCAATTGGTCCTTTCGTGGGGCTGGAGTTGATGTGCCGCCAGGCACACCGTCTGTGATTTGGTTGGCATGTCATGATTATGAGGGTTAGCCAGCAGCCTGGGGATTAAGGGGTTAACTACACCTAGCCAGGTGGAGTGACCAATAGGAATGTAGGTGGGACTTTTCAAACTGGGACAAAGGAATTTGGGTTTTTTCCTTTCTCCCTTTTGTCTCTCTGGGAGTTCTCTGCAGCTACAGAGAGGGACAAGCATGTCTCTCTCTCTCCAAGACATCATTCTTCATTTTCTGTAAGTAAGGTAAAGTTTAGGTAGTTTCGTTAGGTTTTATTGTGTTATGGATTGGGTATGGGATCTGAGATCTGGCACTGCTTAAAAGATGTTTTGGCTTTTCTTTGTAACTAAGTTCTAGGCCCATGGAGTTTCTCCATGAGTATATTTTGTTACCTTCCTCTCTAGTCATTATACTTGCAACCATCTTAAGTTACACTGCTGGACCCCTTGTCATTTCAGCATCACAATGAAGAACTGGGAGACAGAAATAAAGAATGGGAAAGGAAGTTTTTGGTTTTAACCTTATGTGCACTGGAAAAAATAAGTCACAGCACTTAAAAGAGCAGCTAAAAAAGAATCACAAAATTCCACATCATTACAGGTAACTTGCCCTAACACACTTCTTAGAAAAATCGAAGTCTGATGAACCTGACAAACACTAGGTAATTAAAGTGTCATCACGGTACAGGAAAAATAATTATCTTAAAAGAAAAAACTTACATCTTTTAAATCCACATCTGAATCTTCAGGAAAATCTGGGTGAGTGTCTCCAGAGCCATCCATTGGGGAAATTCCCCAATCATCATCTTCCTTCAGTTCTCCACATTCTGCAATAATGCACAACTGTAAAAAACAGGAGGTATACAATATGCAATGTTGCCATTCACTAATCGAAAAGCGTTAGTTCTTGTGCATTGCCAAAAGATCAGTGGAAGTGTTCTCCCGCCACTCCCAAACTACAGATTTCAGAGGCCTACTTCAGCTGCCTCTTACTATTCCTTATGAAACTGATCAGCTTCATATTCAGTTTTACTGCAAGGTAAACTCATCAAGTTCAACCCCTGGAGGGAATATAGTTTAACTATGGGGACAATAGCCCTAAAGTGCCTAGTTTTCACTGTTTTAACCTCAAGATAGGTCATGCATGTTACTTACTGAGGTAAAAAAAGAAGGCCATATGCGAAAGGATGACATATGGGATGTTAACTTGCATTTAATCAACTAATCGACTAGTCGATAAGCAGAGGAAACTGCAGAGCTGCAGCAGGTTAGCTCCTGGCCCCAGGAGCTAACCCCACTGCGGCTCCACCTTTTAAATGCATTAAGAGCTGCCAGGCTCTTAATACACTTAAAAGACTTGAGCTGTGACAGCTGATTCCCAGCTAATGCCAGGTCTCCCGTGCTGCGCTTGAGCTTTTAAAATGTATTAAGAGCCTGAAAAGTAAATGGGTCATAGATTAAGTCTGAAGAAGAAGAAGCATGTTTAAGTGTATTAATTATACTGTTTGCTCAATGCTATTAGACCAGGGTTAGGCAAACTGCGGCCTGCGAGCAAGATCTGGTCCACAGGGTTAGTCCCAGGCAGGCCCCCACCTCCATGTTTTCCTGCACCTCGGCACGCATCAGAGGATCACAGCTCTCATTGGCTGCAAATGGCGATTCGCAGCTAATGCAAATGGTAGTAAGTGCCTTCCCACTGCTCACATTGGCCACGAAAGGTGATTCGCGGCCAATCAGAGCTGTGATCCTCCGATACCTGAGGAGGTGCAGGGAAACATAACTGTGGTGGCCTGCCAGGGACTAACCCTGCGAGCTGCCATTTTTTTATTGCCGTGTATCAGACTATTATATCCTCCCACCCATCCCCTAAAATAGGATGAGAGCCAAGAACTCCATATTTCTACTCAGCTCTAACGCTAACTCCTTCTGCAACCTTTGGCAGGCCACAACTTCATTAATACAAGTTTGTTTCTCTCACCTTCAAGGTGCAGGCAAATTCCTTCCTGATTTCCAAAGGTTGTGTGAAAATGGATTACTAGTTGAGATGTTTAAAATGTTTTACATGTGTAAAGTATCAAGAATTATTAACTACAAAATAACTCTTTCTCCTTTCCCAGTGTTTAAGACTTACTTTGATCTAAATATTTAATTTGGGATTAGTAAAAGGTTTAATCAATCCTGTCACATTTAGCCTGGAAATCATTACATGTTCTGCGAGACAAAGCTCTGAAAAAGCTTTACTTTTTCTAGTTTTGATCTAATAGCAAACCAGTTTTGTCTTATACTGAAAATCAACTAAAATTAAATTTCACAGAAGTATTTTTACAGAATACTAAAACAGTTCTCACAGAAGGTATCCTATAACAGTGACCTCAGCTTACCTTTGCAGGCTTTTCTCCATTCACTTCAATATTTTCTAATATTTTCGCAACACCCATTCCTTTGATCACCTGACCAAACACCACATGTTTCCCATCCAAGTGAGGGGTTGGCACCGTTGTGATGAAGAACTGAGAGCCATTTGTATTAGGTCCCGCATTTGCCATGCTCAGCAGCCCTGCCCGATCGTGCTATATGAGAAACCATTATCAAAGCAAATATAAGTAACATCTGATTATTCTACAAGGTTACTACAATAAACTATCAAGGCATCCAGTGAACCTCAAATGAGAAGCCTGCAATGGGTCTAAGGACCACACAATTTACAATTGGCTTCATCTTCCCTCACAGAAAGACATGTGTGTCTTCATTGTATTTCCCACAGCTGGGGGCAAGGAAGCTTACTGATTCAACCAGTTAAAAGGAAATGTTGCACTAGCTGTTTAACAACATCAATCAGTTCCTTGCTGTCTGAACACCAGAACTGGAGGAATCCTTTGAGGGGTGCTGAATGTGATGCTCCCTAATTTGATCTTCTAAGGGTACGTCTAGACTACATGCCTCTGGCAACAGAGGCATGTAGATTAGGCTACCGGACATAGTAAAATGAAGCGGCGATTTAAATAATCGCCGCTTCATTTAAATTTACATGGCTGCCGCGCTGAGCCGACAAACAGCTGATCAGCTGGGCGCACCAGCTGCTGGGCTGAGCTGACAAACAGCTGATCAGCGCGATAGTCTGGACGCGCGGGTGGCGACATCAAAGGTATTTGTCGACCACCCAGGTATGCCTCATCCCAGGAGGCATACCTGGGTGGTCGACAAATACCTTTGATGTCGGCAGAGGAGCGACCAGACTATCGCGCTGATCAGCTGTTTGTCAGCTCAGCCGATCAGCTGGTGCGC